CCGACTTTGACCTACACGAGAATGTGAGGGCCGTTGGAATGGATCGCAACACCACCGTCACACCGTTTTCAATGTTTTCGAATTCCGCACTGGAGACGACGGGAGCTCCTCGAAGACTGGCTCTCAGGCATAGAGGACTTACTAATATGAAGTGAAACGTTATTATTGCCTTTTCAAAACACTTATTCTGGGAATTTAATACCGTTCATAGTACAATGGGCATCGGGTTTTCGGAGACTACCTGAGGTAAACGGTCGACTTATCGGAAACGCCACGACCTTTGTCAGCCTGCTGCAATCACAATTTTCGAAGCGTCCGCGAATTAAAACAATGAATTTTAAAGATGAAAGATCACAGAATATGGAACTATAACATATTTTAATTTTAAGCAAAATTTCAAGTATCGTAGTGTGCAAAATTGATTCACTTAGCGTGGTATGACCCGTAGTATTTCGTATCTCTCGGCGCGACGCTTTCATTAAACTGCGCGAAGATTAACGCGGATCCCTGTGTACCAAACAACTGTGATCAGTTGTATTTCGAGAAATACGTAATATACTTTATATGTATGTCAAGCTTATGCTACATGTCAAGCTTCAATCGGGGTAAGTTCAATGGCAAAAAGCGAATGTTGGTATCACAGTCATGGCACGATATATGTATAATATGCATAATAATGGTACGGATGTATCGCTGCTAATTACGATTTAATGATCGATAACGGTTTCGAATGAGAAGAAACGCGATTAAATAATGGAATAAATTACCCAAATGAAACGATCGGTCGTCCCTCCCTCCCTCGCCCCTTACGTTATTCCGGTTTAATGCTTTTAATCTGGCTCTTTGAACGCGTTGTTCGTTTCGATTTCATGATTTTCGGTTTCCGTTATCGCGGACGAATTACTAGGCGGTGAAACTGAAATGATTAGGAAGCAATGTTTCGATCGTGATTTACCATCGTAACGACTTTAATGGTGTTCGTTCATCGCTCTTCTCCAAACGAATCTCTTTTTTTTTTATCGAACCCCCTCCCCCCCCCCCCAATCGACGTTTCCGCGACCGTCTGGCAACGTCCAGAACGGTCGATCCGATTCGACGAGAAACGATCTCGGATCTGGAGTACCTTTTTTATTTCGGCTTTGGTTTTTTTTTCTTCGTTATTTGATATATTCAGCAACCCTTTCGGACACCTGAGCACGGTTAAACGGTACCCACCCACGATCAATTTGATCCAGAGTTGGGCACAATTTCCTTCGAATAATACTTAGTGAAAAGCAGCATTTTCTAAGGGCGTCATCCTGAGTTTTAAACAATCGATGAAATTCAATAATTGTTTGTTAAATGTCGACTCATTCAAGCTGAAGTATTACTGTATTATAAAAATTCGAACATCCATGTTTGAACGATTAAAAATAACGAAGTACTTTTTTTCTTTGCCTTTTATTCGTTATTTGAAGCTGTTTATCTAGATAATGAATTTGCCCATCTCTGCTTTGATTCTTCGACACGCGGCCGAATCGCGACTCGAGTAATCGCTGTCCTACCGATGTCCATAAGTGATCGTGCTGTAAAACACGCGTAGCGATCAAGCATTCGGCATCGAAAGCCGCGGAGACAGAAGAAAATGAGAAATATGTAATCGTGTGTATACTCGAAAGATATAATGGTAATTATTGGGAACATGATCCTAGGCACCGATTTTGATGACCTTGATTATCACTGAGGACCATGTCCTCGATAATCACCGATATAATCCTCCGTCACGGAACAAGCACGACGTTTTGCACGAAGAAGCGTTCGCGATCTCTCGGGGGGAGAGGAGTTACAGTATCGGGGTGCCGCGGGCGCTCGTCTCAAGTAGCAGCGAGCCGCGATTCACCGGTATTAATACCGAATAAATTAGCAGTCTCGTCGAGGCAACAAAGTATTACAGTGTAGTCGAACTAATTGTAAGTATGATTGGACGTGCTGCATGCATCGTGCTGCGTGCATTTTTCGTTCGTGCTTCGCCATGCATTTTTTTTCAGCTCCTACTCGTGCATCTCTGTATGTTCAACCAGCGTGACCAGCTTGAGGGATTTTCAGGAAAACTGTCAACTATACTGTTATGGCAGTGGGGGAATGTAAAGTAATGGCGTCACAACTATAGCGTTGAGATTAGTTACGATACTTCTGTGGTCTTCTACGATAGTTTTATGGTTGGCCCCCACTACCAAGATAGTACCATTTTCCCTCGTCGGGGGATTTTGCTGGTCACGCTGTGTTCAACGAACATTCATCGTCATCGACACGAAATGAGCGGATCCATGCAACAAAAACGGGGTCGCTGTTTGGACTTATGAGATCGTCTTTTCAATTTTATAATACGTAGCTCGTAAGCCCACAACCATGTTCCATCGGACAAGATATTATTGTGCATACACAGGAACGAGCGAAAGAGTTCTAGCCAGGCGCAAGCATCGTTTTGGCTCAGCTGTTTCGGGGTACGTCTACCTTTTATTCCGTACAGGTTGCCCGCAAAATTCGTTCCTTCGCAATATATACAGGGTGTCCAAAAACAGCTCCGACTCCCGGAAATGGGGAGGATCGAAGCTATTATGGGACACCCTGTATACGTATATATGATCGTCGTGAAACGAAAGCAACGGATGTCATCGTTCACGGGGGCGAGGAAATGAAAACGGCGAATAAAAACTGACGAAGGAGATCGCGCGAACAATTTTACGGCATCCTGCGAAAACTTTGGTGTATGCGATATTTGTTGCGTCAGTTCGCGAGTCCATGCGCTTTTCGTCATGCACCGTTGCTGAATACACGGAGATGGAAAGCTAAATCTATCGGAGACGTAAAGAGTGAAAATAGAGAGAAAGAGAGAGAGAGAGAGAGAGAGATAGAGAGATTTATGTATTTATGTACGTTTACTGAGAGAGAAAGAGAGGCAGATGGACAGAAATGAATGGAAGGAGAGAGGACAGAGAGAAAGATACGTGGTGAGAGAAATGGTACGAGCATAGGCGAAGAGAGTACAGTCGGTGAAGAGGATTCGATGGGGGTCGAGAGGGATGTTCTTCGTTCGATTCGTTCATTAATCCTGATCCAAGAGCCAAGAATCTTTCAAGCCTGGTTGCAGGCAAAAATTTGGAAAAAATTTGAGAGAAAAAAGAGGCAGCTTACGTTTGACAGGGTCGCGAACGAAATTCATAATTTACTACCGTAAATCATCCATGAGTGTTCGAAGGCTCGTTAGTACTTAGTGTTCTGACATTATCCTCACTATTGGACGCTTGATTGGTACCACGGGGGATTCCCTCACTGGTGGGGATGACGCCTGAACACTCAGTGCCGAGGAGCTTCCGAACATTCATTGATGATTTACTGTATATCCATCGGAACATCCCGCCTGGACGCGTCATCGATGAAATGCAGATCGCAGGAGGGCCAGAAAGGTAAAGGTTTTCCGTTCTCTATCAGAGAGACAGAGAGGGAGAGAAAGAGAGAGAGAGAGAGAGAGAGAGAGAGAGTGTGTGTGTGTCCGTGTTACACGGTGTTGTGTCCATGTGTGTGTGTAGGTGTGCGACGTGTCCGTGTGGTTCGTCAGGACGCGGTTAAGACCTTGCACGTGGACATCCTTCGTTCGAGATACGCGTTTCGGGATCGGCGTAACGGGAGTTGAAAAACAAAGAGACAATGAGCGTCGATGGTACGTATCTATCCTCGCAAGCGTTCCTCCCCCCGGGATCGTCTCTCGATTACCCGTAGAGGACACAACGGCCTGCAAATTGTAAATACACACTCCTCTCGATTATTGTCCCGAACTTGGGTACGCGCCGGGACAATAATCGTATAGGGAGAAATGTTTCAGACCCTCGTAAATTCGTTCCCTCCCCCCTCCAGTAGTGGGGATCACGCCTGGACAATAATCGAGAGGAGTCTGTAATTCGATCGCCAAACGATTTCCGGCTCTGCATCGTCGAAAACGAATCGTATCCTCGGTGTCGCGGACAGAGCTGGAAAGTGACGGTCAGCGAGCGAAAGGAACGTTTGTTTTTTTTTTTTTGTTTTTGCACGGCAGCGTGGATCGTCGCCGGATAACGCGGAGTCGAAGCCGAGTTAGCGCCCGGCAACCGATCGAATCGAGATCGATGATTGTTCGATGGATTACGCGCGAAGTCGTGACCGCGCCCTAGTGCTATTGGGGGGGTCTTACCAAGGGGCTGGCCAATATTATCCCTATCCTGCTGAGCACCGCTGGGAGCCGCTGCAACATCACAGACACCAAACAAAGAGACTTACTCACCAACATTTCCACCAACCAAGTTCTTACTAATCGTGTGCGCGTGTGTGTGTATGTGCGTGTCTGTAACAACGTGTTTGTCTTTTCCCTTAATAATCGACGAGCATATTTCTTTCGTTCTAATCACTGTTTTTCTTTTCTGCTTTTTTTTTTTTTTTTTTTTTTTTTTTTTTTTATTTTTTCTTTCTTTCTATTAATATTTCCCGCCGTTTTTTCCGTATCTTTTGTCGGTTATTTCGCATTCTTTCGTGATCTCGTCCATGTATATTCTTTTTAACTTTTTCGTTACGTTCGTGTTTCCCGGTGCTTTGTTACTGTATCGCGATTCAATCCTCCTCGCGAAAGAGCACACAACCGTAATCGAACCGGTTTCTATATACACAGGGGCGTCTCCAAAAGCAGGTGGAAAAAGAAGAAAAAAAGAATATATATACTCCGGTCGAAACGTGCGCCGACGGTCCATTTCCGTTTCCCCGTTTTTATTCGGTCCTAGTCCGTTCGAAAGATAGAGATATCGACAGGCCGTTGCGGTAGCCTCGCTCCTCTCGATGCTTAGGCCTTTCTCGTTGACATGAACAACTCTCGACAAATTGTACATGCAAGGAACACAAACACAATACAATCTGCCAGCGGAGCAGCAACGGTGGTAGAGTGATTCGGTCGGTGGTAGATTTCTCGTGATCCCGAAGAGAACCGCAAACAATAAAACAGGTGAGAATGGTACTGAGAAATGGTTCTATGGTTCGGTGGTGTTCTCGTGGCGGGTAGCTCGCGCGTTACTGGTTAATAGTTAAAAGTGTGAATCCACTTGTTATATCGCCGTTGTGTATGAATGCGGAAGGGCAAACGTTGCATCGTTGCATATGAAAATGCGATACAATACGATACGATACGAGGATACGGAACAAGTGGATACGCACCTTAACACCTTGACTGCCACAGTGAAAAAGGCCGAATATAACCAGACACATTTTACTTCATAGTGAAAATGGTAGTATGTTGTCAGACATACTATATTTTGTTCTTTAAGTCATAAATGACGATGAAAAATATATGCGTTTAGTTAATAGAATCTAATCCATATTTGGTTGTCGTGGTAGTCGAAGTGTTAAACGGGGAATCCATTGATTGGATAAAGATGCGTGGATCGCGATCGTAACGCGCGGCCTACACACCTGGAAATGAAGATAGATAGAGATAGAAAAACCTTGTCTGTGAAACGACAAAATTGTGGGACACAACGGTGCGGTGTGGCCTCCGAAGTAAAGGAGAAGAGAGCATTATAATATAACAGGGTATCCCAAAAAAATGGGGCAATCCGCAACATGGATATTCCTCATATAAATACAAATCGAAAAGTCCTTTACCGTTTTTTCATCTGAAGCCCAGTTTCCGAGATATTAGCAATTAAACGAACTCACATGTACGCGCAGACTGCTATTCGTTTGGAAACATCTCGGAGATAGAGCTTCAGATTTCCAAACGGTAAAGGATTTTTGGATCTGTACTTGTATGAGGAAGATCCATGTTGCGGATTGCTTCATAGCAAAGAGAGCGAAACTGTCGGAGACATGCAAATACTGCAGCCTCGGTCGAGTCTGACGAGAGAGTAGTATGGAACATTCTCGGGAGAGCGTTGGATTCGTTTGGTTCGTCGTGTCGTCGCGTCGTCGGTAGAAGAGTGTTTGCGTTTGTATTCGATACACGTGTACTCGGTTCGCCGAGAAGATTCCTACTGCGAACGCGTCGTCGAGACCGGACATGTGGGCGATCGCGATAAAATTTTTCGAGCGATTACTCGAAAGCGATCGCGAACAAGGAACAGCCCGCAACCAACGAGCTTTCGATCGTTCCACTAAATTTTCCCTCTCGAAACTAGACGACGAACGGATGTGCGATCCTATTCGTTCCTGGTAGGAATGTTCGACTCTGATTCGATTCTGAAGAATCGAGGGTCGATTCTTTTCGGTCACACGTCACGGCCATATACAGGCTCCTCTCGATTATTGTCCCGAACTGGGGTCCGCTCCGGGACAATAATCTTGTAGGTGGGACAAAAATCTTGGGAACAACGCTTTACAAGTAAGACATCGAAATGTTTCCAACAAAGGTCGATCAGTTTCCTATCGACTACAACTTGCAATATTGCCAATTCGCACGGAATCGAACCGGAATCGAACATCCCTTAGTTTCCTGACCGGCAACGTGATTCTCAAAGGATCGATTATTCCCGCGAACACGTGCCTCGTCGAGAACGACCGCGAGCGTATCAACGCGTCCCGGAGGTTACAGGAGCGAAATAGAAATGCATCAGCGAAGAAATCTCGACGTGAAGCGGGCAAACCTTTATCCATGAAAGACGTCGAGCAATCTCGACGCTCGGCGAGTTTTGTTCGGGACAATTGATGATTATGGATTCGCGAAAGGAATGTTTGGACGCCTTGGACAGTGGCAAATCGGTTTGCTCGCTTCTGCGTCGCGCATGAAGAAGAAGAAAAAAAATACGAACAAAAAGAGATAGATGAAACTTGAAATCTCGCGCAAACAGGTGCTCGATCATTCCTATAGAAACACACGCTTTGGGTGTCGATTGTGTCGTAAAAATGGAAGATACTGTGATTCAACTATTGCGAGTGTAAAATCTATAGGTATAGGTAGTGATGTGACTGATACCGTATCGATATTATCGATATCCTTTCTCCAAGTTTCAATACGGTATCGATACATATCAAAGACATAGGTATCATAAAGATTCGATGCTTATTTGCTACCTACCCGAAAGTATTGATATTTGTTTGATACCTGCACGACAGTATCGAAAGATCTTGTGTTGATCTTTCGTGTAGATATCAAATAAGTATCGATACTTTCGTGAGGTATGAAACGGTTTTCGATTCGGTGCCGTATTGGATTGGTATCGAGTCAAGAAGAATCGGTATTGATACTTGATACTAATTACCCAAAGTTTCGATACATATCGATACTTCCCACTGAGCACTTTGGGTATCGAATCGATTGAATATCATCAATAGTATTGGTACCGATCCCATCACTAAATATAGGTCGTACAGCCGAGTCGAAGAAAAGAGCGATTCGTGCTCCACGCTCAATGACCATCGAATCTTCGATCGTCGCTCTTCTCTTGACTGTGGTATACGTTCGCACAGTGGCGAACGAAAGTCCGTTTAAAAAATATTCGCGTTATTATCGGTAAGTATACCGTATGCAGCGTGAAGATAAGAAACATAAGCGTGACAATCGTACGGAAAATAGGGAAGATCGAAGTAACGTACGAAAGAAACAAAGAAAACTCGTGCGGCCCGAAACAAACACGTTGGGAAAAATCGAAAAGTCTGAACGAACACGAAAATAGAAACGGAAATGAAGGAAGCGTAAAACCAACGTGTATATAACCGAATCGAATCGGAGACGCGCAAAGAGCAAATGAAGGGAGACAGGTTCGAAATGTCGACGAATAACGACCAACCGAAAAAAAAAGGAACATGAACATCAAAAGAAAACTGTGCGAACAACTCGACCAGCGAAGAATTTCACGAGAACTCGGTGGCTAGAATAAGGAAGCGTTCACACGGAATCTCTCGACTCGTAAAGAATAAGAACAAGGAAACAAAGAACCGAAAGAATCGTTGAAAGAGGAAGTGAAAAATTACGAACGGTTTAACAGATAGAACAGATAGACAGACAGATAGACAAATAGACAGACAGATAGATAGATTAGATAGATATAGGTGTAAGGAATCGAATTTATGCAGGTGTTTTGTCGGCGGCCGTGGTGTCGCAAAAGTACCTGGGTGACGGGATTCTCTCCGGGACGATAGACGACGTTGTCCTTCGGCCGTTTCCGGCCGATGTAGTTGACGATTACGAACTCGAGCAGGCTGGCGTAGATGAAGCACATGCACACCCCGTCCCACACGTTCATGGCAGTCAGATTCGACACGACGGGCAGCGTCGACCGGAAACCGTTCGACGTCGTGAAGAAATTGAGCATCGTCGTCACACCTACGAACAAAATTCGGTCCTAGAGTTCCTGGTTAGTTCTCGGTGGTGGAGGGGGCTCTGAATTAATTGCCACTCCCCTACAGTGCCGACCATGGCAATATAGTTAGAGTGCACTGTATTTCTAAAATATTCGATTTTCATACATTTTAAAAAATTTGGTCCATTTTTCCCGAACTTACCCTAACCGACAGAGACGAAAGAGCATGATTTCTCGCGAAACGTTCCTCTTTCGTCGAATACGCGATAAAAGGTTCAGTTTCGTAGGAGAGAACCGAAAGATAGAGGTAAAAAAGACAAAAGTATGGCTTACCGATCATTACACGCGCCGGCACGGCGTTCCAGTCGAGCCAGAAGGTAATGAAGGAGCTGGTCACCAGAATGATTCCCGGGATGAAGACCGTCGTGAAGTAGAAGGCACGATCTCGCGTGAAAATCAGATCCACCTTCAGGCAGCTGTAGTTACCTATCACGGCATTGCGTCGAATGGATTACGATTGTGTCTCTCTCTCGATCGATTAGAGCGAGCGAGAGCGATTGTTATCAACCGGGAGTGTGAAGAAAAAGACATAAGAAAAAAAAAAGCGGTTAGTGGTTTATCGTCTCGCGATTGAAAACAATTCGACAGAAAATTAAAGCAGCCGCGCGATTTCGCATCTTCTCGAGTTCCTTTCTTGGTCCATTTCGTGTGAATCGTCGAGTTTCGCGTTGTTGCGACGCATTGTACACACTCACAGAGCTTCTTTCATCCTCCCACCCTCTTTTCTCCACAGGGTGTCCCAGATTTAAAAAAAAAAAAAAAAAAGAAAAATATTATCTTGTCCTACTTTCGATTTACAAAACAGAGTTCCGATTTGGATGAATTATACAAAGTTGAGAATCCTGCCGGTAATACAATGGCGCGGTATCGAGAGATTTTTATCTGATTCTCTTTCCGTGAAAGACACAGGCTCGCGAGAGGAAAGACAAATGGAAATAAAAAAAGAAGAAACGAGAGAAAGAGAGAGAGAGAGAAGGAGAGAGAGAAAAAAACAAACTAAGAAGAAGAGAAGGGACGTGAGTAGGGCACAGTCGTGTCGCCAACTTTCCGCAATGAAGCTCCACATTCGCGAAAGCGTTCTCAAGCCGAGCTGGATATATATATATATCTCGTTCATGAAGTTCAATTTTTCCTCGATGACGATGTATCGCAAATTTCCAACGATTTCAAGATGGAAAAAAACAATAGAGCAACATTATTCGCTGGTCGGAGTATCGGTAACCGGGACACCTCGTCGATGTTTTCATGTAAATTCATCGTTTATATTACAATTCAATCGTCGATTCGAGGGGAAAGGAAGATGGAAGCGGCGACGCGTGCAAAAGAGAGAGATATAGAGCGAGAAAAAATACTGTTAGTTTTTCGTCGATCGAACTTCGGCCATCGAACGAGAATCGTTCGGTATCGGTACAACAAGTATTGCGGCATGGTATGAAAAGAACAACAACTGGGAATTCATATAACGAAGCAGAAGCTGAAGCGTAGGCCAAATGATTCAAACAAACGTTCACCAAGATTCGAACCACGTCCGAGTATAAAATAATATAGTCGTATAGGGGGAGAAAGAAACCAGTGTTGTGTTGGGTTGTGGTGTTCAACGCAAATACGATTTTACATACAGTCCGAATGCTAATCTTTCGTTAACGTTCCGTAGCCGCGACGGTTCCGCCGAGCGATCGAACGAGCGACACTCATTTTACTTCCGGCTAACCTCAAACAACGTTTCTGTTCCTGAAAAGAATGGTGATCCACGTTTCGGTCAGCTCGTAGGTTTAATCGCTCGACGGAGTCGCAATCGGCGCACTGCCACTTTAAAAACCTGTGCTCCGACGATCCACTTTCGTCCACTCTGCGAACCCTGTCGAAGAATTCTTCGGCCATGTTACACCCTTTCTTCCTCTGTGTCGGTCTACAGGTTACCTCCCTTCTTTTTCAATTTCCCGTTCGTGGACAAGATACCTGACGGTCGTGAATCGTCGGTAGCACGGG